TCAGCCCTGTATAAGCAGCATAATGTAGGAGGGGGTCCCTAATACGGTTCAGTTGCCTTATATCAGCATTTGCCACCAGTATAGTACCATCGGCATATTGAATGATGGGATAGTCTGGGCAGGATTGATCGAGTAGAGGTGATTCCAGCAGGGAGTGTTGCATAGCTTCATTTAATATAGATTGGAGAAGATCTGCAGCCAGTACAAATATTAATGGGGATAAAGGATCACCCTGCCTCACCCCTTTTGTACATAAAAACTGCTTTCCTGGTACTCCATTCGGAAGGATTGATGAGTAGCTTGTGCCATATATCATTTTAATCCACTTGATCCATGTGCTGCCAAAACCTTTAGCTTGAAGGATATCAATGATGGAATCATGATTTATCATATCAAAGGCCTTTTCAGAGTCATGTTTCAACAGGATAATTTCTTTTTTAGACTAATAACACTGATGAGTGTACTCATAGGACCAAGCAATGTAATCTTGTATCCATCTGTCGTTGAGAAATCCATATTGGTTTCTGTGGACCAGTCTCAAAATTACTTTCTGTAATCTGTTGGCCAGCAGCTTTGTATCTTTTCGTTTTCTCAAGTACCCATGTCTTCATATGCAAACTACCTAATGTGTGATTCGAGGCAAAACATGATGGGCCTTTGAACTTTTCTCTTGGTTGTTTTAGGCATTACACTCATCATCAAATAGTAATTTCACTTCTAAAGGAAGTCCATCAAAAAAATACATAATAACACTACAAGAAACCTGTTAGTCCATGACAAATTTCCCATGACGTTCTTTGAAACTGTCATGGACGGAGCTGCTATAGTCCCGCAAGCCCGCTAGAGCTCGCCTGACTGTTCCTCATATAAATTGCTAACCCTAAGTCCCTTCTCCTCGCCCCCTCCTCTCTCTCCCGATTCCCCTTGTATCCCACACACAGCCACCACCCACCACCTCCTAGCCTCCCTCCTCCACAGCTCACCGCTGGCCATCCCCCGCCCCTCCTCTCACCTCGCAGATTCAGCAGCTGCTAGATCCGCCGCATCCCCAACCCAGCAACCCCTCTCGCAACCCATCTATCTCGCTCTCTCTCTCGGTGACCAACATCCGGTGATTCCAGCGATGAACGCTGCCGCGCAGCAAACTAACGAGCTGGTCTACGACCCCTCCGTCCTCCATTCTAGCTGGATCTGCCGCTCCCGCTCTATGGCGCTCTCTTGCGACCCCTAGACATGGCTAGGGTTTCAGCTGCTGCGTAGCATCCATCGCCGTTTCGTCTCCGACAGATCCTCTTTGTCGCACACGGTGGCCCTCACGCCCTATCGGCCTCCTGGATGGCGCTCCCTAGCTCGGTGCGCTCGTGCGTGTTGGGCTGGACAGCGGCGACCTCGACCTCCTCTGCCACGTCTCCGCCCCGGCCGTATATCCTATGGCGACCTCCTCTACCGCGCGCACGTGGTGGCCGACATTCACTGCAACCCTTGCATCATCTACAAACCACTTCAGTGAGCACTTGTATCTCTGCCTCCCTCCTCTGCTCTGAGCCTGTGGCTGTGGCATGCACTGTTTTGTGGACATTGAGCTGAACCTGATCCATGGTTAGTTAGGGTGTTGGTGCTGTTTGGGCTCGATTAGCTCGATTCAATGTTGTTTTGGCTTGAGCAAACTTGTTCTTTTGTTGAAATGAGAGGGTTAAGGTAGGTGCTGCTGCTGTTCACAATCATGTATATGCAATTGTAGACAACCAGAGAATATATGTTGCATTTGTATGTCCTCATATTTAAAATTTGTGTCTGGAAGTTATTACTAGATCTACTATCCCAATAATTTTTTATTTCCTAAATCTCATGGTAAATCTGGAAATTGCATTGCATATATGTGTATTACGCCATACTAGTAAACTTCTAAAAGCAAGTGGAGCTGAACCTTTATAATGCACTTTGCATCCTGCAGATTACGCTTTACTTATTTGCATGTCATGTTATATGAACAGGCACTGTGGTTGTGATTGTTATGCTGGGAACGATGTTCCTCATGGTCCATGTAATGTTGCTAGTATGGAAGAGGCACTAGATCCTTGGGGTCACATTCCTTGAGCTCTCGCTGATGGAGGATAAATGGAAACAAGTGATCATCTAGTGGAGAAAAAGGGTAAGTTACAACCTGTTTGCTCTTCCTGTTCGTAATAAGAATCCTTACTGTAGTGTCCCATTTACTTGTAGCATTAAAAATTTCAATACACAATATATATGATGCTTCCATGCTTTTCAATTTTTTTGCAATATTGTTTTTCTCTACATTGCAAACAGAACTTAATGTTCGATTGGATCAGGCAAGTAACATTGTGAGTAGGCCTTCTTGCCTGTTTACTTTTCAATTGGATCGGGTGTTCATGTAAACAAGATAGCTCCAACTCTTGTTTCAAGAGTGAGTAGTATGCTGAAACTGCATTCTAGTAAATAGGGGTTACTGCTCAAATCTGAGAAATTTAAAAGCAATCCTTATTGCTGACTGGTGGTGTATATATAGTACTGGTATATGAAGATGAACTTGGCAATAAATCAGCTTTTACCTTCGAAATATATGTACAGAATTTTCAGATCTAATCTGAAATGTCAATTAGGAAATGCTGAGCATTATCTTTGACCTTCAAAACCAAAAACCTACTGTATGGACAAACACAAATCATACTAATGTTCTTTGTTTATAAATGTTGAGCATTATTTTGTTGGTGGGTTTATATGGCCTCAACTTCTGCTATAGTACTTGAGTTTTGTGATTTGTGTTTGTTACTCATTTGACTTTCATTTGACACACTTCTCTCTGGTGACCGCTTCCTCTCTGAAATCTTTAACACTCAATTTTCTCTGAATTTCTTTTGTATCTTGTAACTGCAGGGTACCAAGTAGAGACAAACCGCTGCACTGTGGTATGTGGCCTTCTATCAAGATCTAATTCAGTTTGGATTCCACTACTATGATTTCTCCGTTATTTCCATAACCTAGCTCAATTGCTACTGAACTATTTAGTTGATCTAGTTCATTGTTACGCATTTTTAACCAGGGTGTGATTTTCAAATAATTTGTGGTGGTTAAATTGATCATCTCTTGCAC